GATTAATTCCTCTTCTGTACAGGACACAGTCAGAGACAAGTGCGTGCACAAGACACATGTACGCACACAGACCAATGTCGCTCGGAGCAAACGATCTGTCTCTGATTGTTCTCCGTGAATACAGTGAACACTTGTTGCTTTAAAGAGAAAAAGGCAGAGTCTGGGAAAATAGAGAATAATAGAAAAAATATAGATTTTTAAATACCGTAGTTTAAACTGCCAAGAACATTTAGAATATTTTACATGTTAAACCTTAGAATCCTGCTGCGGGTTCTTAGATTCATGCTCATTTTCTATGCATCCAATCACACAGCGACCTCCTCTGGTCTGAAGCAGTGGGTCAAACTGGTCCTTGGTCACTGTTGAATTCCATATTTCTATTTAAGATCTGAGTCAACTTAATCTACTTAACTCATAGAATGACTCCAGATATTTCAGCTGTACCTCTGTTATTTGTCTTGATGTTACTTCAAAAAGATGAAAATTGTCTAAGTGCAGACATGTCAGACAGACAGTCTGTCTTACACACACACACACACACACACACACACAGACACAGGGCCCACTACTGAAGTGAATAAGTGTCTCTGTAGCCAGGTTGTCCAGATTTATGTTGGTGGTTTTCTGTCACAGATGTTGCCGTGGTGACAAAGTGACAGACCTTGGAGTTTCATTTTGTGATTGTGTTCTTATTCCTTCATTTACTGTTTCCAACACTTCAAAATCACTCCTGTGTTAATGTTTCCTCTCTTCCTCTCTCTCTCTCTCATGTCAGTGTGTGATGTGTGCTGTGCCACCACCACTGTCTGATTGATACTACCATACGTCCATCCAATGTATTGATAGGTGGCAGTAATATTTTTTTTTTCTCTCTGCTTCAAGATTAATGCAGACATTGATCACATGACCAGGGCCTCCATCAGGCCTAGTTAAAAGGAAATCCATCGATCCAGAGCACTGTGCTTCCTCCCAATCAGTCTGTTCATAGAAATAGAAGATCTAGATTGGCTGTAGATTTAATTCTCTCAGTGTTTGTCTTGTGGAGCTCCAGGACTGAATCAGGTCTAATGTAGATTGTTATTGTTTTATTTCCAGGTTCACAACAACTACTTCAATATGTGAGTGTATCATATTCAGTGTATAAATTAAATCTTTTAATTTCTTTACGTTAAAATCACTACAAACCACCACCACTGGTTGGCAGTTTTAACTGACCAGGAACACGATTTAATCGCAGTTTAACCTTTTTTCATTTTCCTTTTATTTTTTTGGCAAATTATTGTTATTCTTTTCAGCTTTTTTGCTTGGACCTCTGCCTCCACATATTTTTCACCCATTTATTATATTTTGTAGAGGTCAAAGGATTTTAAAAAATGCAATTATAATCAATAGCAGAAACAGGGGTAAATCAAGCTGCTCAGGGAAAAACTGTTCCTGTCTATAATGTTTTTTTTAATGAAATTTAAAAAAGTTATTCTCCTCTTAGTTTATTTTCTGTAACTTTCTCACCTGTACTGCACATCTGTCTGTCAGTTATTAAAATTTAACAATCTATCTAACGTTAACAATCTTCAACTTTTTGCATTTTTCAAAATAGTATCTCTTCCTTTTAGACTTCTGTCTGATTTTTCTCTTGTTTTCATTCAGATTTAGGTGATGTTGGAAAGTTGCACAACATTATGGTGTCGCCATTACAGATTTGACACAAGCTGCATTAGGACAGTGCATTGATGAATGTGTTTAAATATTGTCTTTCAAATAGCAAAAAACTTCCATCACCAAAATACTGACATGCTACTGATGTGCAGTAATACTACCACTGAGGGCAATCAGAGAATATGACTGATAGACAACATTAATAGAAAACAAACAAACAAACAACCAAACAGAGGTGGGACTGAAACCCATTTAGCCCAACTGAGGGACTCCTCAATTTGTCCAGTTTGAAAATTCAATCCCATTTTCCAACTGAATGAGTTCCCATGTTTCTTGCTAATGGATGGGATTTGATTTTAAATGAGTTTTTTTTTCCTATATGAAGGATTTGCTCCCACTCAAACTGAAGCCTATTTTCTTCTCACAATGAGAACTGGAACCAGTGAACCATGAGTAGCTAAGAGTCTACGTACAGAGAGCTGTTTTGGTTGAAATGGTAAAACAAAAATTTCACTGAACTCCATCAGTCAATGAGTCAATGAATGTGCAGTATTTCTGACCTAGTATCAATATATATTACAAGTATATATATTCAGCATTATATTCTGGTCAATTGCTTACAATTAGGACCATATTTTGAAAAATGCTGGAATATTTCTTTAAAACAAAACAGTTTTTCCTCAAATGTTGAATCGTCATCCTCTGCACCAACATGAACCTGTTTCATCTCCTCACCCATGTTTTTCTGTGAATTCCTTTTTTATTTTTGAAGCAGGTTGAATAAGTTTATGTTTCCTCGACTGGAGTTAAACTGTTCCAGTGCAACCCTGTGGGGTTTTTACTCTCCCCCAGGTCCAATGAGCACTGGCTTTGTCTGCTCCACTCTTTGCACTACAAGCCATGCTACAAACAGTACATGCTCATGCAGACAGTTAAATGGAAAACCCCACAGGTCACAAACACCAGAACAAAACATTAAACACCAGTTCCTTTTCTTTTTTTAACCTGTATTCAGAAATGTACAGGAAAAATATTTCTGTTTCTGTTTTTCTGATATTTCCCACATTTCTTGGCGCTTTTCTTTTTTGATGACACGAAAGGAAAACATTGCAGGTATTAAGTAACTAACCTTTATATTAGTTTGACAAACAATCTAACATTAAAATTCAGCTGCAGACTGCCAAAAATGTTGGTTGTGTACAAATAAGTGGCTGTCGACCACACACAGAATAAGTGTTGAGGTCTGAAGCCGTTAAAATGTATCTCTCAAAAATGTACACATTATTTAATTCTTTATGTCGTTCAGTTTGAGTGATGTTCCACCTAGTTCCAACAGGCAGACCGCAATACATTTTATTGTTACCACTGTTCCAGTTGACCTAATTCCCTAATGCATATGAATGACCTCCGATGAACAGAGATTAAAATAAAGAACTGAACTGCACAGGTGCTGCATTCAAAGGCTTATAGTAGCACAGACTAAATCTTAGATGACCTGACATCTCACTCTGCAGCCTGTTGTTTCTCCCTGCAGGGTCAGTCACAGTGAAAAGGTTCAATATCAGTATTATGTTTATAATAGTAAATGAAACACTTTATTCAGTCTATACAATCAATGTTAGTTTGAATGAGTTCAAATGGTTAAATCTTATCCTTTAAATCAGAACTTTTTCCACAAAAATAAGAGACATTTGTGACATAAACAGCCTGTCTGGAAAATTAATTCACTGGACCTTTAGAACAGTGCCCCCTGTCAGTCACCTTTATGCTCCTAGTAAGTGTGTTTTTTTTTGTCTTGTCTGATGTAACTAAATGTAAAATTATTTTATTTTAAATTTGACCAAATATTCTTTAAATCAAGTGAATATTCATGCCAAGGCCAAAGAATAAAATTAATTATATTAAAATAAGTTGTTGCATTTATTTAAACTATCTCTATGCTAGCTGTCATTGTAAGTATTACCTGAGACTGTGACGTTGATTTCCAACTGTAGGATCTACCAAGGTGATGCTTACCTGCCTTTGAACCATAGTTGGCACCATGGTGACATTATCGGCTATAGAAACTACAGAATTTAAAACATAATTTCTTTTCATTCAAAGTGAATCTCCGTGTCACCAGTACTAAACATTCACATCTCTTTGAATACTCCAGATATTTAAATATTTGCTCTGGACACCTTTAATTACCATCACAGTCTCAAAGGTGCTCCATTATAGGGGGCAGACACAGCTGCACTCACGTTCATTATGAATTCATCACTTTGTGTTGCAGAGACTCTGGAGTCAGAACAGCAGGGGTCAAACTGACAATTAAAAATGTTCTTTCCTTTAAAGCCCTCTTGTGACTTGCAACAGATTCTCGTAATGTAGCTGTGAAAGCACGCTAAATAATTAATTTGATGCAGCACTTTGAGCAGTTCTTCTCCTGCAGGGTATCTTGTCTGTGGATGTTTTATGGCTGTTGTTTCTTCCCTAATTGTGTGACGACTAAGTTTGGCTGTTAATAATAAATAACATTTGTTACTGTCAATTTCATCCTCAGTATTTATGACCTCTCACTGTGGATGTAAATGAATATAAAGTGAGCGACACAGGATGAGGACGATTTTTCTTTTCCTCGCCCATTTATTACTGTTAAAATTCTATATGTTAATATTATAAAGTGACCGCACATTTATAATGTTAAACTATTGATTTTCAACAGTCAGAGCTGGGCCTCCAATCTTTGCCATAATTGATGTGTTCGTTATGCGGACCAGAATGACTTTGCAATCCTTCGAGTTAATTCTTTTTAAAATGGAAAAGAGTTATCCGGAAGCAGTAAAATTATACAAAATTCCCAAATGCAGTAGAGACCAAATTATTATAGGAATATTGACGTGTGAGTATACAGTAAGTGTTTGGGCAAGTAAACACTGTTCCACAGTAGTGTTTAATGTCTCGGGCCATTCCACAGGCTCAGACATAAAAACCACTTAAAGCTCCAATGCTGTGTGTGTGTGAATGGTTATGTGTGTGTGTGTATATGTGTGTGCGCGTGTGTGTGCGCCTGTGGACAGATGCTACTATTGGGCATTGTAGAGAAAAAAAAAGGGAAGAAGGCCATTCAATGTCCCTGCTGCTGTTTTGTTGTATGTCACTTTTAACAAGCTCAGCTGCTGCACCGTGAGACTTACCTCCAAATTCACTGTTTTCAATTTAATGAATCTAGTCTCAAGTTATTGCCAGTTATAAAAAAACATGTGTTGTGATTTTCTTTTAGGTTGTTGTTGTAAAAGTTAGGACATGTTAAGATATGATGGAAAAAAATCTATTCATACTGTGTTTTTTTACTTTGTGCTTGTACACTGTGGTACGTGGCTATGTCTTATATTGTTATAACAGCCCTAATCACAGATTGTTGTAATTATCCAGGTTAATGAACAACACCTTCATCTTTACTCCTATTTATCATCTGAACAACTGAGGGATAAGTGGATAAAGTGGTGTAAAAGTAAACATTAGCTCAAGGTCGTGGTGCTGCACAACTGTACAGCTGTGATATATTGTGTTCTGCAGCTCTCTGTGTTTCCTTTCATCCTATCCTGACTACTTTTCTCACTTAAGGTCATAGTCCTTTGATTCACAAGGTGAAAACAGTTCAAATGTTTTTTCACTTTTTAGAAAAAGTGAAAAAATATACTAACCAAAACATACTGCACTTCAGATATTAGTGTGAAGCAAAATAATGTCAAAGGTAGTTTTTCTAAACTTGGGTTTTTCTTTGTTGGAATCTGTAAACCCTGTGATCACTGAGAAGGTACACATAAGCCTAGAGGATGTCACAACTTCTGTACGGCAAGATGGCGAATAGGAAAATGCATCACAATCAAGCTTTAGAAAAATATACCAGTCAGCAACTAAATCAAAACTGGTCTAAGTATTCTGGCAAATGCATTCATTTGTGGTTTGCTCTTTATTTCTTCAATAAACAACACAGGGCAGTTTGGTACAACTTTTAATGCCTTATGCCCTTTCTGACATTACTTTCACTTTACTTGATCCAAAGACTACCGCCAGTAGGACATAGACTGAGGTCCCACTGTGATTGGCTTTAATGAAAGACCTAAACATTTTGTCGAGGGACAAATCAGCTCTTAAAACTGCCCACAGCTGCTCCAGCTTTGATTTAATGAAGCCACAAAATTTGGAAAATAACAGCCATATTAATGGTTCACTGCCGGTGGAACATTATTTCTTCGTCCAACTCTAGTCTTATAGAACAGGATCTCAAACTTTCACTACACCTTATTTAATATAAGAGATTTTTCTTCTGCTACATTCCTGTGTAAGACAATCTGCTCCGTCACAAATATGTTTTATTTTGAGATCAATAAAAAAAAAAAATAGTACATGGGAGCTGATTCTTTCCCTTTACCGAAAACGTTTTTTAATCTGATGCTGTGGTTGTCATATTGTTTTTCTCTGCAGTCTGTTTCTACCAGGAAACATCATTAACTTTTGCAAGAGAGAGAGACAAGAAAATACAGACGGGGGCAGCATCCCTGATGAGAGCAGCACCAATTTCTACTGCCTCATTTAATTTGTTGAGTGGATTACTTTGAAATAACTGAGTTGTGGGTTTTATCAGGGATCTTGAATACTCTTCCTTTACAAATAATCAATATACTGAATAATGGTTTTCATACCCTAGCAGAGGTATGTCCTTAATTAATAACCTTTGTGGTATTAATCTCAGGCCACACGGTGGGAGTAGTGGTTTGCATACTTGCCTTACAGCAAGTACTTTCTCTGATTTGATCCTCTTTCTGTATATATGGTATATATGCATTTTCTCTTCCTAGTTTGGATCAGTTTTTTCCAACCTTCACCTCACATAGACCAAAAACATGGAGATTATGGAGACGCCAATTGGACACACAACTGACCATAGATAGCTATAAGCTATATTAAGCTAAGCTACATTAAGAAGTAAAAGAAAGAATGAGTAGGGATGGGGAAAGATGAGTAAAGATGAGACGTCACAGGATGAAAACAGCTGTGTACTCTGTTACTACTCCTCAGAGAGTAATAAGGGTAAAACGGTGTAATAACAAAGTACTTGTAAAGGCAGCATAATCAAACAGCACTGTGGAACTGTGTTTTCATACCTTTGGAGTGCCCATCCAGACCCCAGGCATTCTAAGTAAGTCGAGTTTTTCCCTGGAGCCGTGAAAGCTGAGAAGGACTCTTCTCATATTCCTCATCTTATGAAAACTGAGAAGTATCTCTTTGGCTGGCTAGAAAATTGCGTAGTTTGGAGTTTTTCCGAAATTATTTTGTGTGAATCAGCGGCGACGTGATGATATCACTTCTGCTTGTCTATTGAATCCTAAGAATTTATTCATTTCTAGGCTGCATGCAGGGATGAGGCTCGGCACTCTGACTCTCTCGTAGCAGTTTGAAATCATTGCCAGTTAAATAGCGCAAGAGTGCCAGCTGAAGAGGCTGCCAATGACTCACATTTGCCGTGGTAGATGTGAAAAGTTAGAGGGAATGGATAAAAAGCCGACGGCTTTGTCGATTTCACAGCCCAAAGGTGTCTTAAAAATATCCATGACACCGATGTTGCAGTGAAACTGCCAGATTAAATAGTCATAGAATGTTTTTTTTTTAATTTTTGTTAACTCTTAAATGATAATTTGTTGTGGCTTTATTGGTTGTTGTGCGAAAGCTGGGGTTTTAAATATTATCAAATTGATTTTTAGAAGAGGTACTAAATTCAGGAAAGCCACTAAAACTACAACAGCATGTGTCATGTCCCTTAAGTTATTTTCTCATTTTATCATCTCAATGGTCTCTAATGCAGCTTTTATAGCTAATTCTACAGATACAGAAAACAGTAACGCGTTTGATCCGTGTGTCGTTATGGTAACACACGGTGTTTCACACAGAATGAGAACCTGTCTCCATCTCCTCGATGATTGCTACTCTTACGGCCTGAACCTGTTGTTTATTCATGTAAGGGCAGGCTTTCATCTCCAGTAAATGGCTAGCGTTAAGCTACAGATACCACACGTTCTAATCTCCGTGAGAAACCTTTCCGGTTTCTAATCCTACATATAATTTGTCGTGGAAATGTCAAACCTGGTGTTAGCAGTAGCACAGCTTTAGAAGTGAAGAAGCCTCTTGGATGAGAACCTCCACGGCACCAATGTTAGCACCAATGTCATAACGTACACAACAGAAATGTTAAAGTGTCTTTATCAAATGACAGTTGATTCCCACACAGTGTGATTCCACGATTTAAAAGACTGTAGCAGGACAGTATCACTGATGTAAATCCCTTTAGAGAAAGAAAATCTCATTACAGTATGTCTGCATCTTTAATCATCAGCTATCTTAAACTAGAAAAAAAAATATTATAACTAGTTAGGTTGGGCCAAGGTGGCATCAAGGTTCACAGCAACAATGTCAAAGGTTCAAGTTTAAAAAGCATGAAGAAACAGGTAACAGTGAGGGTGCAGTTTCTTCAGTGACCAATTTTCAAAACTAAATCTGAAGAAGTTGAGTGGAGACATCAGTTCATGGTGGGAAGGAATTTAAAAAATGATTAAGTGGACTGAGTGGTCATAGATGAATAAACTTGAATGTTGGTTGCGTTATGACTAGGCAAAGAAGAAGATTGATGATAGGTTGGCGAAATCTCTTCTGTTTTCTAGCATTTCTTTTTCTAAAGATTATTTGGTCTAAATAAGGTGTTAAATCATGACTCCACCTCCTTTCATTTATTCCAGAATCCCCGGGCTGTTAAAGCTGGTTTCACTTGGGCATTTGAACTTTTCTATGAGAGGTCGCATTCACCTACTCCTACGTGTAATCATGGCAGTTTTTTCTCTACTCCAAAACGGGACAGGGTTGTCTTTGGGACAATCACAACTTGGGTCTGTTGCCCCGGGGTGGGATCAGCGGAGTTATTAAGTGCATTAAGTATGTCCGTTTGCTTTGTTGTTGTATCCAGGCTTACTGTGCTTTGATGATTGGCCCCTGGCTTTGCTTCTGAATCAAAGCTGTTCTTGTTGAAGCGTGTTTCTAGGAGCCACAGAGATGGTGTGATAACGACTGTTGTTTAGATGTTTGGATAAAGGGCTGCAGCAGATAAATGTTAGACCTGGTGAGATGTTTTCTGGTTCACATGATTTATGTTATGTCGGTTCAGAGCCAACGGATAACACAGTGTCTTTTAATCTTCTTTAAATTGTAACTTTTACTTTATTGCAGTAACGTCTTTCCTGTGAAGATGATCCATTACAGTCACTCGTCCTCTCTCTCACTCTCTCTCTTTTTCTTTCCTCCTCTCAGCCCCAGCGGAGCCGTTGCTGTGCAAGTTTGCTGATGGAGGCCAAAAAAAGAGGCAGACCCAGGTCAAGTATCCCCAGAACGGCCGGCCGTGGACACGGGATGGAGAGGTAGAGGAGTTAATTTCATCATCAGAAATAAGTCACCATTGGACATCATATTAAAATTCCTTCATCAGCCACTGAAGAGTTTTTATTGCAGCAAGTTGAAAAGGTCACTGTGGCCCAAGATTCACAAAGAGAGGCGCTGCAATGGTTAGCTGAATAATCAGAGACTTTTACATTGACTATGTTTTACAACATTTTTAACAATGGCAAACAATTTGTATTGTTTATGTTTATCCATTCAATAATACAATACAAAGGAAACCAAAAAATACCAATTTTCACTATGATTATTAAAATTAGTTGTTATTATTTGATTTTTTCATTTTAACTTTGTGATATTGAGTAGATTTATTTAAATAATTTTTACCTGTTATGCATGATCAACTCCATTTAATCTTAAATCCTAAAGGTTGGGTGACATCACTTCCTTTTAATGTTTTTTTTTTTAATTTATTTATATCATTCATGTCAGATGACAAATAGAATTTCCACACAGAAGTTTAATAGCCATAAATGCAGCATTTCAAGTCAACTCTTATATAATTTGAGTATCTGACTAAAGTTCTCTTTGACTTGAGTTTCTTTCATAAAACTGAGGTTTAAATTATAAAAAGCCTGTCACCCCCCCTCCTGCCCTCTGCAGGGTCTTTATCAGCTTTCTTTTCCAAATCACATAGAGCAGTCTGTGTTAGAGATGCTGCTGACATAATAAAAGCTGGCATAGAAATGTAAGTCAATTTAAATACAGGGTTATCTCAAGATCTCAAAACCAACTTCTGTTTTCTTTTGTACAGCGTTGTTCTCCTGCTCTCTTATAAATTCAGTAGAAATTAGACCTTGTGCACCAAATTGAAAGCCGATCGACTGTTGCTCTTTACTGACAGTCCGCAAGTTGTTAGTGTCAAGACCTAAGCTTTAATTAACAGAACAAGGAAAAGTGAAAAATGATGTCGCCGCCCACACGATGAGTGCTGATTTAGCTGGGTTTCACGATGTTGGATATACTATACTGTATGAAGAGTGTGAAAGGAAAAAAGAAGCACAGCCAAGCGAAATGGAACCAGACTGAAACAAACGCACTGATAGCAGCTGCCCGTGTGTCTGTGTGCAGCAGCGGCAGCAGGCAGCAGTTATTTTCACCGAGCAGAAAAAGAAATGACACCAGGGATTTGTTAAAAATTTGAAGCCTCTCTGTTTAATAATTCCTTTTGGGTGTCTTGTTGTTGGATTGTCAACAAGAGTTAAAATAAATGATGTGTGTTTTCAGC